TTTCGTGATCGAAAGCGGCTGTTGTTTTATTGAAAAAAAGAATGTAAATAGGAATAAGAAAAAGGAGTGGATGAAGGTGTGGTACCAAAAACGAAAGCCATTTACAGATAAAAATCTTCTAGACGAATTGAAATTATCAAGCGAAAAAAACCCTAACTTTTTGCGAATCGATTCAAAACCCAATGATTTTAAATAATTAAAAGTTCATTAAATTTTAACATCAACCCAACACATACATTGGGCTCTCATAAGATAGGTTGTATCAGCAGATTCGGTCTAAGGTTTTGCGTCGGTGACTGTTTTCAGAAATAGGGCAGAATGGGTGCGTTCGAGCAACGTAAAGGGGCATCTCGACAGGCAATTAACCAATGCTAAAAATCTGAATTGCTAACAATATTGCCGATAGAGACTGCATATTGCTTATGTTTAGTAATTGATGTCTGAATATATTTCATGCCATACATTGCTAGCAATTAGCTGTAATTTTGGTGGTTTGTCAGAGCAGTTTTGATTTGTACACCAATTTTGAATAGGCAACATGTACATGCGTAATGCCAATTTGCGTAAACTTCAATTTAGCAAAGTAGTATTCAAAACATAAGTTTTAAAAATTATGGAAAATAGTTATTAAATAGAAACAAATGTTTAGATGTGTATGGTTATTAGTTTAATGATAATTATAAGCATATGTATTTATTATTGTTCATATTTTATTATTGAATTGGTAAATAAACTATGTGCAACAATTATCTTAAAATATGAAATCTTTTTTTTCCAAAAAATACATTTGTAAAACAATAAAATTTCTAATTTTTCCATTCAACACATATATATTTTTGTCATTCTCTTAAAATTTTTAAACGATTCAAGGGAGCAAACAGGCGCTATGACTAGTTCAATATACATACAAGCTAAAATAGCTTTCGACAAGCCAATATAAATATGTTGGCTAAGTCTCCCATACAAAATAAGCTAATAGCTTAACGTGCTGGTCAAATAAAACACGCCTATTGTAACATTTTTTGTTTATGTCTGAATACTGTCGATGCAATGCAGAATATTTAGAATATTCGACAAGTAAACTAAAGTTTTTTTTAATTTTTAAAAGCCCGAGTTTTATTATTTGTACAAAAAACAAACAGTTTTAGTGTGCTTTTTGAAATCTAAATTGCCGTCCACTACGTGATATTATGTATACATTTTTTTTTAAATTTAGATTTTAATGTATATTTGTTTTACACCTGTGAAAACATTATATATTGTGTTATTATTCATTATAATTATTCTTATACTATGTGTATTTTCCAGCATTCTAAACCAAATTCGGCTATTGTGTCTTAATATAATTAGTCGTTTAAAGAGCTCGGGACGCGTTTTAATAATATTTAAAAAAATGGAAACCAAAGGAAAAGAAATTAGTCTGTCGGAAAGAAAAATTATCATTAAGTTGTGGAAAGATGGCGAAAGTTTCAGAAAAATTGGGCAAACTATTGGAAGAACGTATTCTTCTGTCCAGGGCGTCATAAACAATTAAAAAAAAACCGGACTTTTAATGTCAAAACCGCGATCTGGCCGTCCGAAAATATTATCAGCCCGAAATATTATTAACCCTCGAATTACGTCCACAAAGATTATTGAAAACGTATATATAACCATTAAAAAACAATTTGTGCCGAAACTGCTAAAAAATTTTACGAAAAGCTGGATATCATGGTAGAGTCGCTCGAAAGAAACCATATATTTCACTTGTAAACAGGCGAAAGCGTATTGGTTTTGCTCATAATTATATAAATAACTCGCCGGAATTCTGGAGACAAGTAATATTTTCGGATGAAAGTAAATTTTGTATTTTTAGCATAAAACGTCGACAAATTGTGTGGCGCAAGTCAGGAACTGCCCTTGAAAAGCAAAATCTTGTTGGTAAAGTTAAACACGAAGGTGGCGGAATTATGGTGTGGGGTTGCAGGCCGGCTGGTGGTGTGGGTCAGCTTGAATTTATTTCATCCACAATGGATAAATGGGGTTTGTTGAACATTTTAAAAAAACAATTTGAAAAAAAGTGCAGAGAATCTTGGTTCCAACAAGATAATGACCCGAAGCATACTGCGAAATAGTTAGACTTTGGCTCTTGTACAATGCTCCTAGACAACTTAAAACGCCCCCTCAATCAGCTGACCTCAATCCTATTGAGCAGCTATATCTATAGGATCTGTTGGAAAAAATAATTCGTCAGCATACAATAACAAGTAAAGAGGATTTGCGAAGTGTTATGAGATAAGTTGGTAAGATCAACGCCAAATCAATTGAGCGAGGTTTTAAAACAACGCAGCTTTGTAACTAATTTTAAAGCGGAACGCAGACTTAATGGTGCCTATGTTTACTTCTCCTTACACCAAAATCCCGTTATCACAAAAATTAAAATAGGAATATACGTTTTTGTGTGGAGAAAAAAAAACATGTAGAATATATGAACTGAATTACCTATTTACATTGTGTTTTTACTTCACTTAAAAAATAGTGTCGGGTGAACGCAGACTTTATTGGCTATGTGTATGTGCATATATACATAGCTAGTTGTAATAATGACTCGCGCTATGTCCCCAAAACGTATTATGGTCAACATAGAAGTTTTGCTTCGCTTTAGGTCAGTCATTTATATTTTTTAGCTTTGCCCAGCAACCGTCGTCAATTTTTAGGAGAGAAGCACTGAATTTAACGCATTCATTGTGACATACCCTTTTGTTTTCTGCGCTTCGTTGTTTCAGTATGAACTGTCACGTAAAGCGAGGAAAGTTGTATGTGGATGGGTCTTTATAGTTGGAGGTGTTGCCACCGTACCGTCATCCTATGGTATACAGTCGGTGGTGGTGAGATAAAAGCTCACTTCAGACGATCGATGGAAACTTTCACTTTGAGCGTTTTCAGTAACGCAAACTGCGTGGTATGCATGATGCAACTATTTCAAACCTGTCACTTTTGCCATAATTGAAACTTCGAAAACGCATCACTGTTGTAATTGTTGCGCAAAATTTGAAAGGTAGTTGTTCAAAAACCAACTGTGTTAGCTTAAATATTATTGTAAGTTATTTATTTTAAATTTAATTTGTATATTATTGTTTATTATAATTTGGTTTTTTTTTTTACCTAAAAGGATATAGTAGAAATAGATTGCGTCAAGTGTACTAAAGCTTTCACTTTTGGAATAATCCGTTTGACTTTATAACTATTCGAAATTAGTAAATTTCTCTTTATACTCTCGCAACTTGTTGCTACAGAGTATAATAGTTTTGTTAACCTAACGGTTGTTTATATCTCCTTAAACTAATCGAGTTAGATATAGGGTAATGCATATATAAAAGATCAGGCCTGACTGTCTGTCCGTCCGTCTGTCTATCCGTATGTCCGTCCGTCCGCGCAAGCTGTAACTTGAGTAAAAATTGAGATATCTTCTGGAAACTTGGTACACATGTTTCTTGGTACCAGATGGGCGTAATCGGACCACTGCCACGCCCACAAAATGCCATTATTCAAAAACATATAAATTGCCATAACTAAGCTCCGCAATAAGATACACGACTGTTATTTGGTACAAAGGATCACATTAGGGAGGGGCATCTGCAATTAAAATGTTTTTTAAAAAGAGGGCGTGGTCTCGCCCCTAATAAGTTTAATGTGCATATCTCCTAAACCGCTAAAGCTATCATAGCCAAATTCACTGGGAGCAAATGGTTTTAGCACCTCTAATGACGGTGTGAAAATCGGTGAAAGCGGGTGACAAGCCCGCCCACTCCCCATATAACGGTGCTGTTAAAAAATACTAAAAGCGCGATAAACCAAGCCCTAAACACGACAGAGACATTACATTTTATCTCTGGGATACTATGAGATGACTTTATAGGAACGCGGTCAAAATTAGTCAGTGGGCGTGGTACTGCCCACTTTTAGGCGAAACCCCATATCATGGGATCTGCTCAACCGATTTCAAACCAAATTCGAAGCGTAACGTTCTTTTCATATTTCTATGTTACAGTGCAAAATGGGCGAATCGGACTACAACCACGCTATTCCCATATAACAATTTTAATTCCATCTGATTCTTTCACTTTCCACATGCATATCAAGCAACAATGATTATATCGGGGTAAAACTTTGCGTGAATAATACGTTTAAAGTATGCCACTTGTGATCAAAAATTCTAAATCGAACAAAACTATTCAAGCTCTAGGTACTATATGTGGACCCCAGTGCCTACTGACTTTTACCGAAATATCGTCAACAATAGACAGCAATCCACAAAGAAATCTAAAACGAGTATCATTTGACTTGTGAGTATAAAATGTTCAGTTACATCCGAACTTACCCTTCTTTACTTGTTTTAACGATTCATTATCTGTTTGTACCTTTATAATATAAATCGATAATTTTGACTATCTTCTCTCACTGTGATATTAATAAGTATTTCGCACATTTTTATGTTTGAAAATGCAAATTTTCAAATGCGCCGATTTTAATTGGTTCATGCTGATGCCTTCATGAACCAGCATCAATTCTACAGCGCAAATAGGCATCGTTGCCTGTATTTACTGAATTACCGAAAAAGCCATTGTTTTCTTTATTTTTGAATGGTCGGTGTACGGTGCTGATAATGATCACAGAGTCATCGCGGAGGAGCAGTCAAGAGGACATGGTTCTCACTTGATATGCAGCTATAGTAATTATTCTATTTCGATTTCATTACTACGTTGATAATTTCGACGTAGTAGAACCGACTATCGTATCTAAAGATGGCAAGATTAATCAATTAGCTTTTCTCGTATTTTCTTAACGATTTAGCATCGATATCTGTTTTCTTTAGAAAGCGATTTAATTGCATCGAATTTTTGTTTCTGATTAATCGATTAATTACTAAATTAATCACAAATTTTTTTCATATCGAAATTAGGCTACATCTTGCTTAAAATTTACCAGTCCCAATTTCAATGTAAAAACTGTTTTGTCTGGAAGAGTTGCAAACCAAATACATGTGGAAACAGCTTGCTCGTTTTTACCGACAAATCGTTTTCAGTTATTATTGGAATCGTTCCTGCTTCAATGTATTCGTATACAGTAAATATTTTCTAGTTATTACTGGCATCGTTCCTCTTTCAATATTTTCATACATAGCTCGCGTGTTCAAAATGGCTCCTGTATACAGTAAAATTTGGAAATGTTTCACAAAAACCGACGATGCAAATTTTGTAAAATGTACTCTTTGTGCGAAAAAGCAGAAGATTTCAAATAACACAACCAACATGATTCAGCATATAAAGCTTAAGTATAAATGAATTATAGTAAAAGATGCATAAATAAGTTTTTCATACATTTTCGGTGCCGCAGTCAAATACCAGCTATAATGCCGTATCGCAATTGAAGAAAGTATTAAGGCAATGCTGTTCAGTAGCAGGAGTTTGATGAAAATATGTATATTTATTATGTCAGTTTTGTATGATATATGTAATGTATGCGGTTATAATCTATAAAATAATTTGAAATGAAGTTATTTCATTTTTTTAACATTATAAAAATGATCAAAGGGATGATTATCTGTTTTGCTCCTGCATTAATTTTTATTTTTTTTTTTTTTCCATTAATCGTCTTGCGATACGATCAAATTATTGCTTCAAGCTTGACATATGCGCGGGAGAAGTTCATTTGTATCTTGCCTCAAGCATTTGAATAAATCACGTCAAACATCATTTCATATTGACTCTCACAGCTCCGGTTGTCATGTGGTGATCGGAAGCGGCTGTTGTTGTTTATTGAAAAAAAGAATGAAATAGGAATGGAAGAAGGAGTGGATGAAGGTGTGGTACCAAAAACGAAAGCCATAACTTTTGCGAATCGATTCAAACCCAATGATTTTAAATAATTAAAAGTTCATTAAATTAACAGCACCAACACATACATTGGGTTCTTTGTATCAGCTGATTCGGTCTAGGTTTTGCGTCGGTGACTTACGACAGAATGGGTGCGTTCGCAACGTAACGGGCATCTCGATAGCAATAAAAGCAATATTGCTAAGTTTAGCAATTTTTTTTGATGTCTGAATATATTTCATGCCATATATTGCTAGCAAATGTAATTTTTGGTGGTTTGACAGAGCAGTTTTGATTTGTACACCAATTTTGAATAGGCAACATGTACATGCGTAATGCCAGCAAGGATGAAATTCCAATATTTTATGTTTTGTTGCGTAAACTCCAATTTAGCAAAGTAGTACTCAAAACATAAGTTTTAAAATTTATGGAAAATAGTTATTAAATAGAAACAAATGTTTAGATGTGTATGGTTATTAGTTTAATGTTAATATAAGCATATGTATTTATTATTGCTCATATTTAATTATTGAATTGGTAAATAAACTATGTGCAACAATTATCTTAAACTATGAAATCTTATTTTTCCAAAATATACATTTGTAAAACAATTAAATTTCTAATGTCACCAATCTATACATATACATATATTTTTGTCATCCTCTTAAAAGTTTTAAACGGTTCAAGGGAGCAAACAGGCGCTGTGACTAGTTCAAATACATACAGCTAAGATAGGTTCGACAAGCCAATATAAATATGTTGGTTAGTCTCCATATAAAATAAGCTAATAGCTTAACGTGCTGGTCAAATAAAACACGCCTATTGTAACATTTTTGTTTATGTCTGAATACTATCGATGCAATGCAGAATATTTAGAATAGTCGACAAGTAAACTAAAGTTTTTAATTTTTAAAAGCTCGGTTTTATTATTTCTACAAAAAACAAACAGTTTTAGTGTGCTATTTGAAAATCTAAAATGCCGTCCTACGAGATATTATGTATAATTTTTTTTTATTTAAATTTTAATGCATATTTGTTTTCACCAGTGAAACATTATATTTTGTTTATTATTCATTATAATTATTCATATTATGTGTATTTTCCAGCATACTAAAAAAATTCGGCTATTGTGGTAAATTATTAAAGGTCAAAATTACATCTATGGAAAAATCTTCTAATTAAATTTCAAATAAGAAATAATGATTACGCAGAAAACTCCATTGCAAATTTTATTAAAACTAATAGAGCACTTATAAGGATATAATTTATACATATGTACATATGTATGTAAGCTAGTTGAATAATGACACATAGTACGCCCAAAACGTATTATGGCCAATCAATAGAACTTTTGCCTGTTTACGTCGACATTTATTTTGACAGAAATTATCATTAAATTATTCTGTACGCTTTTGTACGATACGTTCCTTAAAAGCTTTCGACGCAAAGCCAAGCAACGCAAGTGTTGCAACACTCTCTTTTATGCTTTGCCAAGCAACCGTCATGCATTTTATAAGAGAGAACACTGAATACGCGTTCATGTGGCTCCCTTTGTTTCTGGCTTCGTTGTTTCAGTATGAACTGTCACGTAAAGCGAGGAAAGTTGTATGCGAATGGGCCTTTAGAGTTAGTAGTGTTGCCACGTACCTAGCCTATGGTATAATGGTATATAGTCGTAGGTGGTGAGATAAAGCTCACTAGACGATCGATGGAAACTTTCACTTCAAGCGTTTAGGTAACGCAAACTGCGTATTGCATGATGCAACATTTCAAAAAGCAAACCTGGCACCTTTGCCAAAATTGAACTGAAAAAGCATCATGCTACAACAACTTTGCGCAAAACTTGCAACATTTGGAAAGAAGGGCAAAAACCAACTATCTAGCTTAAATATTATTGTAAGTTATTTATGTTACATTAATTTTGATTATTGTTTTATTATACTTGTGGATTTTTAAATTTATAGGATATAGTAGAAATAAATTGCGTCAAATGTACTAAAGCTATCACTTTTGGAATATCCGTTTGATTTCAAACTATTCGCAATTAATAATTACTATTTTAATATAGTATTTTTACACGATTTATAATCTTTTGTACCTTTCTTATATAAATCGATAATTTTCGCTATCTTACTCGTCAGTGAGAATGTTAATAAGTATTTTGCACATTTTAAGTTTGAAAATGCAAATTTTCAAAAGCGCCATTTTAACAGGTTTTGTTTTTAGGCCGTAAGGAGGGTTTAAAATGCCGTCAGGATCGTCATCCTACGTGGTGGTGTACCACTAAACACTCCACCTTCTATCATGGATTTTACCTTGCCCGGGACCGCTTTCGCATACTTCAGAAGCAAGGTTCCAAGATGGACCCATAGCGGGTCAGTTTCTACTCTCTCTGCGTCCAGGGATGCCTACTGGTTGTGTAGCCAGCATCAGGCTGACTATCTTCTATGGAGTGGAATTGTTCGGAGGTCCGCGTCCATGTCCTTTTTCTTGATGCGTAGTACATGTTCCACGAATGAGGCAATTTGTTGCCAGTTTTCGCCTAGCTATCATTTTCGCTATTAGGTTTTCCGTGTTTAGTTCTCCAACTTTGTTCTCTAGAGTTCTCGAGCTTCATTCCATCGATGGAACTCAAAGAAGGTTGGTTTCTGATGAACTTTCATGTTCACTCCAACGGGATATGTTTCCAGTGAGCAGGATCAGCTCGTTTTTCTGCGGCTAGGCTAAGGCACGTGTGAGTCCACCATGTCTGTGCTCGCAGCATGACATTGTAGTCTGCGTCTGACTATGTCGGTATAGGAGCGTTATACGGCAGCGAGTCGTCCGCGTACCCAACGAGTAGCAGTCGTCTGGGATTTCGACGTTTAAAATTCCGTCGTAGCTGAGTTCCATAGGTATGGTCCATTGGATCCCTGCGCTGCTCCGAGGTGATTTTTTTCTTTGAGGGCCGTCCCTTGTGTCATATAAGTTCCTCTTCTTTAAGATAGCTTCGTACATTTTCATCAGGTGGGGGCGTTTGAATCGGCTTTCTAGTGCATCTATCATATTTATCCATTTGCGCTATTGAATGCGTTTTTATTATGTCTATTGTTGCGAGGAGGACTATTGGCCTCGAGGAGTTGTTCTTACGATTGGCTTCGTCCACGCTGCGCACGACGTTTTCAACGGCTCCGATTGTGGACCTGGCTGGTCTGAAGCCATGTTGTCGCTCTGATAAGCCTCCAGCGTTGTTTATGGCGCCTATTATGCGGGGTTTCAACAGCCTTTCTAGTAACTTTCCTACTGTATCTAGCATGCACAGAGGTCTGTATGCTGATGGTGTTTCTGGGTTTCCTTTTCCTTTACTTATCAGGGTCAGATGTTGTCTCTTCCATACTTCTGGGAAGATGCCCTCGTTCAAACATGCATTATACATGGATAACAGTAAGTGAGGACGTTCTGGGGCGATTAGCTTTATCACTTCCTGGTATCCGCAAGGCCGGGGCTTTTTGTCTTCAAGTTCTTGCGGCCATGCTCATTTCCTCCAGAGTAAACGGTGGGCATGAGATCTCTTGCATATACTCTGGGGGTCTCTTCCCAGGACATGGGTTGGGAACAGAGTGTTTACGATGTGCTCCATGGCTGCAACGTTTAACTCTGGAATTGACGGTTTCGCCCCGAGCTTTCTCATTACGATCTTGTATCCGAGACCCAAAGGATTTTTGTTTATATCGCTACGTAGCTCTTCCCATTTATCTTTCTTTGCCTTTATTAGTGCATCTTTCAGCTCAGTTTTCGCAGCTTTATATTCCTTATGCTCTTCCATTTCGTTTCTTCCTCTTCTTCTGGCCCTTGTGTATCGGCGTTTTTTACGCAGGTAAGTGTGTCTCAGATTTCGTATTTCGTCCGTCCACCAATAAACTGCTTTCTTTGGATGCCCGCCTTTTATTTGGGGCATGGCTGCCTTACATGCCTCTGTGATGCTGTCCAGTGTTCCGTGAACGTTCCATTTACGCGTTCCTCTTCTTTTAGTTGTTGCTTGACTTTTGTCTGGACCTATGAGGTAGGATATGTATTGGTGATCGCTACCTGTGTAGTCTTCTAGCACTTTCCATTCGCGTAGCTGGTTGCGAATCCTTCAGATACCAGCGTAATATCGGAGTTGTTGTCCGTTGCATCCCGGCCTTCTGAAAGTTGTTTGATCCTCTGTTGGCAACGCCAAGTCCTAATCTAGCTGCCAGTCAAGGTTTTGCGTCCCCTCAATTTGTTGTCGGTGTGCCCCATTCCATGGCCTTGGCGTTGAAATCTCCGGCTATGATTAAGTGCCGATTTGGGTGATGCGCGGCATCCTCAATGGCATCGAGCTTTGCTTGGAATTCTGAGATAGGAGCGCTCGGTATCAGGTAGCAGCTAATTATCGTGATGTTTTCGTTGCTTATCCAGACAAACCCTTTCTCTCCGCTGCTGTTGTTGTTTGAAGCCGCTACTTTCCGTTACTATATTGCGCAGTTGCGGTGATGTCCTCCAACCATGTTCCGTCTTGCCCTATCCTTATTGCTCGCTGATGATTGCTACTTGGTTCCGAATTCCAGAATGAGCTGTGGTAGCAGGGAGTCACGGTTTTTCTTC